AAAACTGTAATTTATTCTAATTCAACCTTATGTGTAGGTAAAACTATAAGCAAATATTTTCACATCTTGGAACCTTTACTTTTCTCAGTTTCTTATCAATAAAAATGCTCGTATTTTTCCCTTAAAAGAAATCCCTGATTTTACTATGGCTACTATAGTTTTCACTAAAATTATAAAGTTTTAGATAATGAATCATAGACCTGTATGAATTCACTTTAATGTCTTATTCAAACCATGAAGCTATTTTAGCACGTCTTATCCATTTTAATATACAGTGGGTAAGTAGTCACCTAAGACTTAGTCTGCCAGTGAAAGATGTTAAACACATAATCACAGTTTCAGAGAAATTGGTGTAATGTATTTATATACATTGTGATAAAAATTTTTACCAACTTGAAAAAAATTGTTATATAGCAGTCAAATTTCTTATTAACTAAAATATGTTTTAAATTTTGATTTTGAGGAATTTTACTGCAATTTCTCTTGTTTGAATTTAAATTATATCTAAATAATTTATATTATTTAAATTATAATCTAGAATAAATTCAATCTAATTATCTTCACTTTGTTCACTTCTCAAAATACCTCTTTTTATCCACTACACAGTGTATCAATGACTAACTTCATTATTTATGCCTTAGCATCTAGAAGCTGTATAATACAGCTAATTTCTTTTGTGAATTATAAATGCTGAACTTCTTATTTTAGCTATTATGTCAGGCAAATTCAACAGTATTTGATTAAATCAACACATTCTCCAAGGAAAATGACAATAAAAATATTGAGCCCATCTTTGTATTATAGAATCAGAGATGAAATATTATATAGTTAATTGATTGACCTATCTATTAGATAGGTATCATTCTGAATTTTAATAAGTTGCTTACCATTAATTTTTCTTTTTTATTTATAGTTATCTTAATGTCCATCTAAATACTCTTTAATAATAGGGTGTTAACATGTAAGGCATATATTAAAATCTTCTAGAACTGACTAGTAATATTCAAAAAATTACTTATAATATTAATATGACTGAAGATTATCTGGCTTTATGAACAGAGTAAATTAATGTTGAACCAGGATTAAGTTACTTTTATTTTGTGTGTGTGCATGTGTATAATTCTTCTGCATATAAATCAGTGTATTTTTATTCTTCAGAAATAAAAATGAGTATGCCTTAGAAGGGGAAAAAATGACCTACATTTTATATCCTGTACTATATTTGATTGTATATTCTTTATATTAACAGTATAATGGCTTTAAAAATGTACCAGACATGCTCAAAAATGAAGCAAATGATTATTTGTGTTTCCAATTTCATATTTCCTTATGAAAATGTAGCTCTATTCTCACAACCACTGTCTAAAAGGCCATAAGCAAATGCACCAAACCAGGACCTTTTAAATAATTGCTGAATGATGCCAAATATTGCCACTTGCTTGGAAAATTGGAAACTAGAGAGATAGATGTTTGGATTTAGGAAGACAACTCAGAGTTTTACTTAGAGTTACAACCAGGCAGATAAAATAAATGATCTTGAGATGGAAATGTTGGAAGAACCTCTCTTATCTTTAGGAAACACTCTCTGAAGTATAACTATATCTGTGTGTGTAATTTTGAGAGAAGGAAACACTATCTCAGAGTCCTCTCATCCATTAAATGGGGATAATAATAGAAAACCCATAAATTTGTCATGATCATTCACCACTGATCACAATGAGAATTGCTTAGTGAGCCCTCGTGGCCTTACACCCTTTCTCAAAAAGTCTCAAATCAGGTCAAGATGGAGAGAGTTCATAAGGAAATGCAGAGTATGTGAATCTCAGGTCAGGCTCACACAGCTTTCAAAGTAGCAGGATATGTGGGCAAAGATTCATTTTGTTAGCAAGGAAATTTATTGAAGGAAGTTGTAAGTTGTGGTCTTGAAAATATATCCTTCAGAAAATAAAAATTATATATTAAAGACAGAGAAGAATTTTTTTGAGCAGAAGTAATTAAATCTTTTAGTTCTGTATTAACTACTTGACCCTGCTGGAATTGTTTTTGAAAAGTGGACTTTTCTAGGCCCCCTAAAATATGTTATATGTTTATTATGCTGTGAACAAATTCATCTAATAATTATTTATTGACCTTCTAAACTGTGCTAGGTGACACAACAATGAAGTAGGCAGAGTTCTTCCATTCAAAGATTAATTGCCAAGTTGGGAGGCTAACACCAATAAAATCAGAGCAGGTAGAAAGTTTAGATAGAAGTACCACATAATTTCCTTAGTCTTTCTGAGCATTCCAACCAATTTGAGTTAATCTTACATTGTTGAATTATAGCTGATTTTGATCAATCTCCTGGTGTTGAATATTTAGATTATTTCAGCTTTGCTATTTCACAATAGAGTCGAAATAATTGCATGAACATTCATGTAGGATAAAAAGAAAAAGCAGAAAATGAAGAAATCCTCAATTTTTGCAAAAATGAAAATATTTAAGATGTTTCAGAACACATAGAATAAAATAATGTTACTAGTGACTAAAAATATATAACAGTGACTGAGAGAGATTTCTTATTTGATAGGTCATTGGCTTGACCTAATAGTCATGTTGACCAAGGTGCTTTCCATCAAATTCTTCTCAGCCAGTTTGTTTTTAGGTACATGTGAAGTCAAGGGGGATGAATGAGAGAGAATGATGAGCAATTAAGCAGAAGCCAGACTCGGAGTCAATAATGGGTGGTGTTATCTCATCTATCTGGACAGTTTAAAAGACTCTAGGGAAGTCCACTTAAAGTGGATTAACAATTACTAAAACTACCCATTGTTTTATGTTCTTTGAATATTAGCTGTGGGGGGGAACCTATAAATCATGCATTTTCACAATTACACGAAGGATACTGTTTAGTTTATATAAGAATGCTCATAGTACCTGAAAATATATAGACACTCTCCAAAACAAATCAGAATTTATTGTTACCCATCTTGGTTGATAGGGAATAAGGAAAAGAAATCCGAACAATGTGTTTGTTTTTTTTGCTAACTAAAAAATTAAATTAAAATGCTAAAATCTGTCATTTTCACTCCAGTTGTTAAGACTCAAATGATATAGCTAATTTTGAAACACTGCTTTTCAAATCCAATGGAATTTTAGTCTCACCCTTTGAGAGCAAATAATCTAATATTTTATAAAGTGTGATAGACTTGGTAATATCAAGTTCTTTACATGGAGTTTTTCAGGACTAATATTATTATATGTTCTTATATTTGATAGAGCCGGAAGATATTTCTCTCGGTGTTAATTAAATACATATATTTTGAGATCCTCATTGTCAAATGATTTTGCTAACAGATAAAGGATATATTATTTTCTATGTTAGATATGCATGAAAATTAAAATTACACATGCTTTTTAATTTCGAAAATGCTTTTTATTTACCTCCAGCCTGCCGAAACTATTTGGGAAAGCTTACGATGAAAATAAGACAGTATTATACAAATTAGTAAACAAGAAGCATATGTGCACATATAGAATGTTAATTCATTTACACTGTTGTTAAAGTCAGTCCTACTTTATGATCATGGTAGTCGCACTCCAGGCAATACCCATTTTCTCTAGTGATTAATGTAGCACCACCGGATTTTCAGAAGGTTGTTTTGTTAATTTGACTGTCCAGGAAACATTTTCCCTGTTGAAAAACAGGTGTAAACATCAGTACCAAAGATAACACATGCTGTTGTTTGATGTCTCTAGTGTAGAGAATTTAGCAGGTTAAAATATAAGGATGAGTAAGGCTATTTATCAGAAGTGAAAGACTAGAAAAATTTTGGTGTAACTCAGAGACTTTGAGAAAATGACAGGAAGACTTTTAATAGCAAAATAATCTGTTAAGCACTCTGAATATATAGGGGCTGTGTGGCAAACATGTGAAATCAAACCCCAGCACAGTAATTACAGGTAATTTGTGAATTGTCTCTAATTTCCTCACTGTGTAAATTATATGCCCATCCACTTGAGACAAGATTTGACTCTGAGGATTTTACCAAAGTTTTCGTAGCTTGACACTGGTTATATTGTTTCAGTGTTCTCTATGCTGCTCTTCAGATTTTCAGCTGGTTTTGAGTAAAAGGCAGGAAACCCATTTCTGTTTATTATGTGCTATGTATTGAAATCTCCTGTCAACTTTTGGCAACTTTGACTAATTATGGATTAGGGATTGAATGTTATGGTTCAAATCTGTGTTCAGTAACCTCTCCTAGGTATGCCAAATGAAATAAATCCTCAACATTTCATAATACTGAGTTCCGTGCTAGTTGACTCAATACTTGTTAAAGACTCCTAGGTACTGCCAAATTGTTAGAAGGCGTTACCAGCTAACCAGGGTAAGAATTGCAAGACTCTAAGCTGTACATTAACATCATTTGTGAGAAAAGGAAAAGCAAAATAATAATAATAACAATTGGCTTCCTTTTTGTTTGTTTCTAAAGATTGCTTTCATCCTATTTCCTATCATTAAGTTTTCCTAAAAAAAAAAAATCAAAAAGCATTTAACATGCATATACTCATCCATCGTTAACATTCCTTTAATCTTATATGGTGGTGTTATTTGTGTTTATTTTCTGTTGTTTTGTTTCTTTGTTGACTTCTTTGACAAAGCATGTCATTTTTTGTTTTACCTATCTATATTTTGCTACTGCATGTCAAACTTTTTAAATGACTCAGCAGACAAATGAATTCTTGTCATTTTAAATTTCACTCTAAATATTGCAAACAATCTGCTTATTCTCAGACATTGCTCCAACTTATTGCTTTGGGTAGGAGCAGGAGAAACAGAAGTGAACAAAAAAATGACAAGAACTGGGTGGTACAGCCAGCTTTGTACCTGATAATCTGTTTAAGCCTGTTAAAGTGAAACCTAAATAAGATGTATGTATTTATAATTTGAATCATTTGTGTTTCTCTTTTGTTTGCATGATATGATTTTGTTTTATATTTTGTTTTTTTCCACTCACCAGATGTTCCCAACACTTTGCCTCCCACTACTATCATCCCCTCCCTTACCACTGCAACAGTCACAACCACTGTAGCCATAACAACCAGCCCAACCACATCTGCAACAACCAGCAACATAAGAGGTACAGTATGCTTCTTTGTTACGGCCTGGAAAACACATTAAATGGAGTGTTAAAGGGTTTTTTAAAAAGGGTCGAGGAATTGAGATCCAATTTTACTTAACTATAAGAAGTAATTAAGTCACCCCAATTACTATCAGTTAGGGTTATTGGACTAAAATGTGAGCCAAGATAGTACATTATCATTTTTCTTAGTGTCATTTATGACTCTTGAAAATGTTTCAGAATATAAGTTACAAATATATGGAGCTCTACAACATTGAGAATTTAAAATGTTATCATGGGACACTGTTGTTTTGCCTTACCTTATAAATGCAAACAAAGAAATAAGATATTCAAGGATATAGAGATAGTTTTTGCTTTTTTAAGACCCTATGAATGTTTATGATTTGTTACTCCTCTGCAATTAGATTAAAATACCTACATTCATGAATTTATTCTAAAATTGACCTTATCCTTGGGGTCACTATGAACTATTCACCACATGGAACTTTTAAGTAAATATTCAACATGTCATCCTAAAGTGATCTGCTGAGTGGATCTACTTATTCTACTAACAGAATGCTCTAAAAGCAGAATGCTCTAGAGTTGCCAGAAATTGATAATTTGGCTCCATGAGTAATTTCTTGTATGTTTACTAATAAGTATCTTTGCTTCAAGGAGAACAACCTAAAAGAAATTGAAGTAATAACCCTAAAGGGCAAAACATAATTACATCATAGTTCAGAAATATGAAAAGGCATTTCTAAGTAGTGATTAAGTGGTTAGTAGATAAAGAAGAAATAAAAAGTTGTTTGAGCACATTATAGAAAAACACATTTTAAACTTTATTTCTGCAGAAGCAATGTTCAGAGACAATTTGTCCTATTTAAGTCTGTCTTTTTCTGCTTATATGTGTTTTGTGTCATGTTGGCTATACTAATGCGTGTTAAGCCTAACAATTTATTTTTAAATCATGGGTACTTTACAATAATATATATATCTAATTATAATTTCATCAAGGATAGACTTAACGTTGTTTTTCTTTACTTTCTCTTGTTCCAGAAAAAAATATTTTAATATCTGTTAATGTTAATTTTTAATAATTGTGTTAATTCTATTATACAGTGTATAAGATTGAGAGCTAAAGTTTGATGACAGTAGCAATAAGAATTTCTCAAAAACACCTGTTATTACTAAACAAGCTGTATTTGAGCTAAATCTATAAGTAGAACGGTTCAAAGATCTTTCTCATAATTTATATTAAAATGGGAGAAAAATAATAAAAATGAAGAAGGTAAAAAGTACTTCATGATATTATATGAAATGAAAGATATCTGAAGTTATACTTTGTTTTAATTTATTGTCTTTCTAAAGATTTGTACAGTAATTCAAATAAAGTGTGATTATTGCATACTAACAAAATCTCTGTGATAATGTTAAGTTCTGAATGTACAAACAAGTCCTTTTGATGGAAAAGGAGAGAGATTATTAACTTTAATTTTTAAAAAGACCTTCTTATAACAAGAAAAGCCTAATAATCAATGGTTCCTTCTTTCTTCAACAAATGTTTATTGAGTACCTGCTACGTATATATAGATCTATGCCAGGCCCTAAAATTATGAAAATAAGAATTTTGTATCTAAAATCACTAGCAGTTAAATTAATGCATTTTCCCACAAATAACCAGTGCCTATGCTTAATTAGTAGAAAGTATTTATGTTCTTTTTGAATATATATATTAGACTAAAATAAGAGAAAATGTCTTACTTCAAAGTGAAGTATTTTAACAACATTCTTTTATATTTGTTCACGTGCATCTTAAGTGAAGTCTTACCAATTTCATTTTAACCAGCCTGTTAGAGTGAAATCAGTTTTCTACTTTTTTAAGTAAATTTACTTTTTTATAGGTTTCCTAAGATGTTTTATGAACTTTGACACCATGAAATTTAAAAGTGCTGAAAAGAGTTCATTCTTCACTCAAAGGAACACATGAATAAATAAAACTCTAAGAAGACATACACACACACACACTCTCTTATCATTCCCTTTTTTTATTTAATAATTGAAAGAAAATACGTTGAAAATGGCACCAAGATATGTGAAAAGAAAATGTATTTTATAACAATTCATAGCATCTAACTTACATGAAAAAAATAGTAGCACCAACATTGAATGTTAATCTGGTGTCTATTTTTTTCCCTCCTATCTTCAACAAACAAGTGGGGACTGAAGAAATCACCAAGCCCACTGCACGATGAATGGTCTAGTCCACATTTGAGGGAATGAGGGATTCAGTCAATACACAAACATTGTTGTGATTTTTCTACTCTGTCCCTTTTAATTTATATGATATTTGTTTATTTAAGCATTCCCTATTAAATTAGAGTCTTCAGATGCAATTATATTTTAAGTGGAATTCACTTATCTATAAATTAGTGAAAGATGTTTCAAAATTATGGTCAAGAAATATCATAAAAAGAATACATGAAAAAAAAATAAGAATATGTGGCCTAAGAAAAGCTGAGAGCTAAATATTTTCAGCTTGTAGATTTTTTTTTTAAGTTTACTCATTTCATCCCTTTCTCTCATTCAGTAATCTGAAGTAAAATAACCATATTTAATTTTATTAGGTTTAAATGACATTTCTTCAAATTCCATAAGCTATATTTCTATATATATATATGTATTTTTTTAATAAATGACCACAAATGAATCACTGTTCACTTCTCCATTTACACTCTTTCATCACCCCTGCTGTTGCTGAGTTTTCTATACTAAGATACGATAAACATCCAATTTAAACAAATTAAAGAATTACAGCTGTGGCTATATTAGAAATCAAGATAAAAGAGAGGGAAAGAAGCTGCTCAAATGGTCAGTCATAACCTTGAGAATTTGTACATCTCTTCAGTTTGTACATGAAATGCATCCTTTGTGCAGGAAGAGGAGCTTCAACCATATGGGAGAAAGCTGGCAATTAGCAGTATCTTGTTACAAATAAAGGTGCTAAAACACAGAGAAGGAAGCAAACTTGAGCAGTCATGGGAAAGACAGAGAATAAGTGAGCCCTGGAGACATCTTTAGGTGTGAGCAGTGGTTTTTCTCTTTACAAAGGCTTTTGTCTTGAACAGTGCACAAATTTAGCATCCACATTTTCATGAGAAACAGTTAATTCCAAGATTGTCTTGAGGATTGGATAGTATCTAAAGTTCTGGCAATATAATCAGCAATCAGCGTATGACAATTTTGTTCAGTTCTTTTTAGTAAAACAAATGTGTTTACATGCAGTTGCATCATACTGTTGATAAAATGGTATATTTTCCCATAATAATTCTAGTTTTAATTCTTGCAAAATTCTTTGGTGTTAGTGCACTGATTACATTTTAATTTCAACCTATTTTTAAATGATTATGTGAAAAAATTAAAAGTTAAAAATGGCACTAGTGTATATGGAGCTTATCTATATATCCTCAAATATAATAATTTATCAATTTTCTGTGAAATTTATGGTATTCTTGATTTGTATCATAAATCTAAAATCTAAACATTTTATAAATCTCTTAAATATTTTGCATTACTGAAGTCCTTTACTACAATACATTTTAATTTCTGCTTTTATAAATTGCAGTTTTTTTAAGATTAGTGACCTGATCAATCCTATCATCTAATTCAGAAAATACATACACACACACACACACACACACACACACACACGTGCACTTATATACATATACTCTTATAAATGTTTTAGGGTTTTTTTTAGGTCACTATAGTAAATTTTAATCAAATAAATTTTAATGAATTAAATATGATCATTTATAAAATTGTTCCAAATGAACTGATGTGATTTCTAGTATTAATACTATTTTTTAATGGTTTGCTTAACTTGAAAACATTTTTTTAAATGTTTATCATATTGTGTAATTTTAATTTTATAACTGTCTCATAATCTAGAAATTTTTAGCAGCACCCTTATTCACAGATAATGATACAAGGTTATTGAAAATTCAGGAAACAAATATGAGACATAGGGACATATACTAGTGATTATGTCTACTTATCATGATTTTTAAAATTAGAATTCACAAATGAATCTTTTGTACTTACCAAGACAAAAAAACTCTTAAACTCTTAATTTGTTTAGGAGTTACCTGTTTCTGCCTTTGCAAGGCTCTTAAGTATGCTACAAGAATAGAAATACATGGGAAGAACATGTGAAATATCTGATATACTGCCTCTCCTAAAACAGCCTGTTCAAATACATCATGAATTTTAATATATTAGGGGAAAAAATCCTAAAATTGATGATGAAATTGTTTATATAATCTATTTAAAAATCCAAATAAATTATTGGTTCAAATATAGATTTAGTTTTACATCAGACTTTATAAATGGGTAAAATAATTTTTTGTTAATAAAATAATATCATTTGTCCTGTAATCTCAACCAAATTATTAGCTATAATGAGGTAATTGCATTGGAACCATATTTCAGAATGGCCATGCAAAATGAAAACAAAGGACGTATTTTTTTTAAAGGTAAGAAATCAGTCATAATCAAACTACCTCCAGTGAACAATAAAGACCAATCTCACCAAATCTATAGCTGGGTCCTGTTGTATTGGTCCCAGTATACTGACAGTGATGCTTTAGGTTAGGAATGCTTGCCTCGGTTCCCATTACGTGTAGGAGCCCCCACAAGCATTTCCTCTACTAGGGCCAGTATTGTGGTTGGACCAGCTCGAGTTCTTAATGTGATCACAGTATGCACTTCAGTAAGAAACTGACAGAGAACTTTAAAGAACAAAATTTACTACTCACAGATCCTGGCGGACCACATAGTGAGGTCACAGGTAGAAAGAGAGAGAGAGCACAGGGTCCTGGGGCTCTGCCTTTATTAGGGTTCAAAGGTGGGGTGTCGAGTTTCATGGGTTCACTCTTTATAGCGAATTTAAAGCATAAGAGTGGGAATTAGAGCACAGGAAGGTAAAAGCCAGGTTGCTCAAAGTGATCAGTTGTCTA